GTCAAAAGTTATTGCTCAGTCAATTCCACATCGCCTACGAATTTGTTCTCAACTGCATTTTCATGGGGTTTTGACCTTCAAAGTTGCTGTTTTGAACCTATTCCAAGGTATTAAGATTGAAAACATATGCAACTATTTAATACATCTCCTTTCAAAAATTGGATACTTTTGGAAAGTCATATCTCACTTAAGTCAGAATCTCCCGCTTCTAGGTATTTAGAGGCTTTCATTTTTTGCCTTATCTGGGTCCCTTCATATCACTAATTTCAAAAGTTTTCCATGTGAAAACAAGTGTGTGTATGATGAGTCAAAGACTGAGGCAAATTCCTTCAAGGAGGCTGTCGTTGGAGGTTCGCAAACTGTTCGGGGGTTTTGCACGCCACTTTATCTGGCAGCTTTTGGGCCCGGCCAGATTAGCTATTTAACGTCCCGGTACTTGATTACCTACTACTACTAACTCTAGTTCATGGCGAAATCGGTGCCAAGGAATTTCTGTAGATAACGTCTGATCGTCAAGCCTTTACCTGAAATACTAAGGAGACCTTTGCTTGGAGATGTAGCACAAGAGTTTGTTTATATGGCGACTAATGAGCTAAAATGGACTTGGTATCCCATGCACTTGCATTTGCCCTTCTGCTCCAGGAGGCACTACACGAGGTGGCATTTGGGATGCTTGAAAACGAAGTCCCCTTTTAACACTGCAGAAATTAACCTTTTGCTTTTTTCGTAGAATTACGGCTTATGTATGGCAACGATGAGTGGATCAAAGTGCGGGAGAACCTCTGGAGTTAAACATAGAACAGTAGAGGGCGAAAAAAGAAGGTTTTTTGATAGTTTTTTGATATTATCAAGGACCGTACAAAAGAGGTGCAATCAACTAGAGTACTCAAAAGGGAGCTTGAATTAGAGAATAGGTTTATCTGAAAGACTTCGAACAATTAATGAGGAAGGGAAATTTTGACTTTGTTTGGTCCCATGCAACCTCAGGGTGCTCCCAGATTGCGTGCGAGCAACCTAAAACAAAAAAAAAACAATTTTCTTCATTCACATAACTTTTTTCTTAATTTTTTATACTTATTATTTGATCATCTTCGCAGACTTATTGACGTTTACTTCTATTCATTCAATGTGTACAACTTCCTTAAAACACTCTAGCCTTCCTTTACGGAAACATTTGACGGTGTACTGCAAATCGTGTATTTGGAACGCTTGCAGCTCCTCTTTCACATGTTTTCAACCTTCGGTGATGTTAGGAGAAGCTCCTATGTGAAAGAAAACCTTGGTCACGGCCATAAAAGTTGATACCACTTTTTTTACCAACTTTCACCCCATTAATTTACTGTCTGCTCCTATCAGAATCGGAGGAACCAGCCTATCGTTCTTCAGACGAAGTGTGCGACCACATTTCTCATTGTCAGTAATTTTGCTCACTAAATAGTTGGTGGACCGTTTGCGATTCAAACTCCAGTGTTTCCTCTTGGAGTAGTTTCACTCAAGACTGACACCTTCATTGAGTACTAATTATATGGAAATATTGAAAAACGTACGCATTTTCCTGAAGATGAACATCGTACGCCCCGACATTGAAATAATATACCAAACTCCCCTTTTGCAAAAACCATTGTACTTTGAATTTACAAATGTAGTAGACTAGTGTGTTCGAAGTTTACACCTTGATTTCAAATTTCGATTGGACTACGGCGAGACGAGCTAGTCAATGTCATGCTTATTTGCTAAGTTTTGTTCTCGGTATGGAGAAAATTGCTGTATTGGTTGCAGATCCGGTCTGGTCTGCTCTGAGTCAGTGTAAGATGTCGATGCTTGGATGCTTAATCCAGCACATTGAAGTGCCACGACTATTATCATTTGATTGCTGTCACTTGCTATTTGAGAACATTCAGAGCTACTAACAAAAAAATTTACTATCAATGATTGATCTCATTGGGGCGACCGATTTCAAACGCCGTTGTTGGCGAGGGATCATAGGACCCATTGGAAACGGTTTCAATCTTGGATAACCAAATTTCGAACCGGGAGCCAGTGTTCCTGGAAAGGGTTGGAGTCCCCATGGAGGACGCTGGTAAGTATTCGTTACGGCAGCCAGCACAACCTGAAATTGTCGCGCTTTGCATACAAGGGAAGGATACTAACTTAGATTCGTCTTTAAAAATGGGGCATATATATATTTGGATTCAGCCTTAAACGCTGATTCCAAATATGCTGTTCCTAGCTGCTTAGCACTATTCCGAAGCGAGTTATGGGCTTGCTATTGTGAGTAAGCAACCTTCTGAATGTCGTGAGACGGCGTGTGGATAAGAAGGTGCTTGAAAAAAAATGCTAGGATGTTGAACTGGCATCAGATTAATTCTTTCGATTTTGGAAAAGAGCATTATACAATTTCAAAATCATCTAGACGTCGACACCGCAGCCTCAGTAGGTCGAGGAGCCCGCAGACTTCGCATAGAAAAGGAACCACAACTCGCTTCAGAATAACGCTAAGCAGCTAGGAACAGCATATTTGGAATCAGCGTTCCAAGCTGATTCCAAATATATGTGTCCCATCTCAAACGGCGAGTTTAATTTAGTATCCGTCCCTTGTTAGTTACTTGTCGGTAAGATTTACCGCTACAAACAGTTTCCAAGCAAGCATTGATAGTCGAAATTTCTATCTTTTTTATATGGTTGCTACTGCTAGACCTTCTTCTTCAAATAGCAGGAATTTCACTTAAATTCGTTCCTCATATAGAAAGATAAAGTCGTTTTTCATTACCTTTGCAAATGGAAATCACACACACACAAATGAAATGAAAATATTGGATTACGGTGATATGCTAAGCTTGCGCTACTGAATGAATCGCGACGGAAGTCGGGAGGAACAAATGTGTTCGATAGCCTGATCCTCGTAACTCTCACAAAAGTGATTTGAGCCTGATTGTTTTTTCTAGTCCGAGAAAATGAAAGCGAAATGTGGGACAAACGTGATTTCGGCTTGCTCTTTATTCCAAAGTTTGGAGGTTGGTTGAAATGGAATGCATGTGAGTAAAGAAGTAGTAGTATTTGTATGTAATGAGTGCAAAAAAAGTAGTTTACTCACCTTTGGAACAAAGTTAGCATGTTCGAATATGACCACCTTATTTGAATGTCCCAATATCTGGAAACGTCAAAATTCGCTGAAGCTTGCCCACAGTGCTATTTGATATGTTAGTTACGAAAATAACGCTCTCATGTTTTAAGGATTCTTTTAATATGCTTACTGTGCGTGTACGACGGTAGGCCAAAAACCAGTGATGCTATCTTATACAACGGGCCTATTGTTAACTGACATCATGTCGCTAACATCATTATCACCTCGATGGCGACCTCCGCCCCTCTTCTTGACCCCTCTACGAACCCCAGGTGTGGGGTGCCACACCCCACGCTTGACCCTGGTTGCAACCTAATACATCATCTAAAGCACTTCTGAACGCCGATCTCAAACCGCATTCTTTGCCTTTGGGCTCTGCGTACGACAACTGATAAGTCACGGATTGCTGCAGTTGTGCAGTGTGTGCTGGCATAAAGCACGAGTGGGTGTTCAAAGCAGGGTCAAGCAATTTGAGCAAAGCAGTATTCGAGACCCTCTCTTACCCCCTCCCCTTCCCTCGGATCACCTCAAAGAGTGCGAATGCTTAATTAGAAATTATGAGTCAGACGAAGAAGAAGCTGCTTAAGATTGAGAGATAATGCAAGTTATTTTTAGTGCTTAGAAATCTCCCAAAATGATTCTGCGTAGGTTTGATAAGTAGGAAAATTTATAAAGATCTGGCTGTACCGTATTGTGGTTTCGAAAAGATAGACGACGAAGGATGACATCAGTCGTCTGACACCGAGATTTAGACTGTGACCTGCCTACTCAGACAATCGACGGGACCCCTCCGCCGGACCCTCCGAAACTGCCAGAGTCGCGCCGGACCCAGTTGACCAATGAGAGAAGGGCAAATGGGCGGTCCATCGCGGTGACATCACTGGCAGGCAAATGGGAGGCTTCTCCGGCCCTGCTGCAAAGGTCCGCCATTTCTCCGGCGCGACTCTGCCAGATTTGGCGGACTCCGCGCCGGAGAAATTTGCGCGGCGCGTGTCCGCCAAATTTGGAAGAGCCGCGCCGGAGAAAATGGGAGGGGTCCGGAGCAGAAATGGGATGCCTCCGGAGCAGAAAATGGGAGGTATCCGGAGCAGAAAATGGGAGGTATCCGGAGCAGAAAATGGGAGGTATCCGGAGCAGAAAATGGGAGGTATCCGGAGCAGGCTGCGTATCGATTTGGCGCGTGGCAAGCAAACGTCTAACTCCACGGTGATGAGTCCTCTGTTTACGCTCTTTGTTCATATTTTAGTCGCCGTTTCTTTGATTTTGTTGTTTTTGCGCGTTTCTTTACCGTTTTTTTCTTTTCCGCGTTGCTCTTCGTCGCGTTGGCGTTTATGTTGCTGTAAGTTCCTCGTTTTCAGGTTTATGTTTCAAATTTTCGTGCGGTTGCACTCAATCACCTTCAGTGTTTGGCTCTTTCCGACTTGCTGAGACATCGTAGACTATTGATGGAGTGGTTTTTGTGATTAATTCTGGATTTTCGAAACAATGAGGTTAGTTGCGCAACTATCTAGTGTTGTTGTGATGAAAGTATCGTCTAAATAATCCGTTTATTGCTATCTCCACCGATGAATCACTTTGCCGTTTGCGTGGTTCGCATCTCGCGTGTCTGTCTGGGATTATCATGCGGTTTTCCGCGAATTATCAGTATGACTGTTTTTTACATACCGTATTTTGTTTTCAGGGCAGAGGTAATGAACTGTGAAGAGCATGCATTGCATTGTGCAGCATTGCTTTCAAAATTTTCGTAATGCAGCTTTTTTACCTTCAGCTTTAGCACTTCTACTCTTTCTGTTGTTGTTGTTGATTTTGACTTCAGTTTAGTATACACTATGTTTAGACGTAACCAAACCAACTCAAGATATCTGTGTTTACTGGTATGGATCCCATCTACGATACAGTGGTTGTTTTCACCGAGAGTTTTGCGCCAAAACCAGTGCGGACATTCGTAGTGAATACTAGTAAGTCACAGCTCTACTTCTTTTCTCGAGGTCTCGGGAGTTTTGATTTTTTGATTGTCTTCAGATGCCGCTTTGCATTCCATCAATGCAAATGTTGAGCCATCTTCAGGCGTTTGCACGTTTCCCGCGAACAGTCAGTTCCCTGATCGTTTTATTCTTTGGTATGTTCAATTTACACTTTATCACGAGTTATTGATTGGTTGGGCACGGAGCTCATGCGTATGCTTGCGGCAATGCTTGCGGCGTTTCGCGCATCTGTTATACAGGGGTTTTCAATCTGAGTGTCACGGTCGACGTGGTTCACCCCCTCGAGAGCCGCGTCGCATGGGTCTCTCACGTAGTACACGACCGCACCCGGTAACGCGAAGGCCTTAGCGGATGCGGCCTTGTGCCACGTGAGAGACCCATGCGACGCGGCTCTCGAGGGGGTGAACCACGTCGACCGTGACACTCGGATTGAAAGCCCCTGTGCACGAGCCGCAGTTTACCAAGGTGTGTTTATCCTCATCTAAAGTACGCAGTAAATTTTGCAGTCTATCATTTAGATCGCCTATTGCATGGCTGAAGGACAACTGGTTGTTGTCACCTTACATGCCAATAAATGTGAGTAATGTCAAGAAAGGACTGAGCTTGCTTTCCAACAACGTTTAATTCACCGCGTTTCTTTCCCAGACGATAAAGCAGAAGAAGTTGTGTTCCGTGAGGCACCAACCACCTGAAGGCATGGATAAAATGGTTTCTATCGCATTGGAGAGAGCTGCGGCTAAGGTTTGATATCTGTTTAGTCAAATTGTTTGATTTTGTTGGTGAATCCTTGTTTTTACTTTTCTTTTTTCATGATGTTAGCCTCATATCAGGGGAAGAGGACTTTTGTTTACTGGGCGTTTCAAACCACCATTTATCCTCAGAATTCAGGAGGAAGACGAGCTTGGGCTAGCTGAGTATGTGATGTCGGACGGACCCGCCCATGATTCTACTTTCATGCGATCACAATTGTGAGATTTGACATGCGTTTATCGGATATTAGTGATTACGGATTTCTAAACTTAGGTGGTCCAGAAATGGTCTCAAATCATAAGTTTGTTCTTGGAAGCCATCCAAGCATCTCAATCTCCCCCAGGTATCATTGGTATATAGCATTTCTACTTATCCTTTGTTTGAATGAATGATAGTACAGTAGAGCCGACTCCCGATGACACTTTATTTGGTGGATCCTTTACTTGCGGACTCATAGCAGCACGACTACGGCACGTGGTGAAACAGCGTCTTGATATCGCGCGGAGCTTGCTAGCATTAATTCAGCTCTACTCTGAAGACAGTGTGGGTAAAACAGTTTTCTCAAGTTTGTGGTATTTCAATAAGATTTCAGGGGCGTTACGACTATCCGATGTTTGAGTTTTCTGATCTCGAAAGGAAACTCAGCAATATCATCAATGTTATAGATTGTTTGACGATCAGCTGTCTCTGAAATTGGCAAAGTGGGCCTGAATAGACGCATGCGTGTCCCAGATATGCGGAATCTAGTGTCTCGAAATCTTTCTAGGGATAATGTGCAGGTGTCCCTATGTAGTTGGTTCTTTAAAGGAGAGGGCGTGGATTGGCTGAGTAAGGTAGCGCACATAGGACGCTTTGAAGAAGCTGACCCATCCCCGGAATTCAACGTTTTTCTGGACAAAATACTCGAGGTATAATTCAATGCAGTGTCGTTCTTGTTTTGTCAAACAAATTATGTCCAGGCTGGATTACTATTTCTATCACCATATTCCGCGCAGGTTTTCTTGGCCAGATCTTTAGCATTGCATGAGCAGTATGCAGTTTTGATGGTAGGTGTCTTTGCAAGCTATAATTTTCAAATACCACTGATTCAAATCATGTTTTTCCATTATATCACGCAATGGACTTGGTGCATTTAGAACCTTTGCACTTTATCTGCAAGCAGTATCCCTGATGAACTTCGCCCTGTCATGACATTTTACAGTGCCATTGCATACTCTGGAATAGGAAAACCCTTGAAAGTGTGTAATACAAGCAGCTTTCTAATAACTTCAGTATATACTGGTAGCTCTTTTAGGCTATGACCAATTTTAATCTCGCCGCTAAAGGAGTAACCGATCAGAACAAGGCGCTTCTGACTGCTTTGTCACCTGTTGGCAAAACCCAAGAGATCAACCTCGGAGATTACTACGTAATGGTAAGATGTCTTTCACATATCTCAGAAATATTTAATGGTGTTTATCAGGCTTAAGAGGCTTTTAAGGCTTTTAAGAGTCGCCGATGATATGGGCCAACTGCGTAAGCCAATTTTCAGCGAAATCCATGATTTTGACTCCCCCGTATACCCACCGTAGCCGCATACGGAGGCGTCTTCGCGCAAAAAAAAAACGTGTATTCGTAATCAGCATGTCAGATAAGCCCTTTTTACGAAATCCATGGCCAAAAAAATTTGGGGCCCGGATAGGCGAATAGCGCCGACTCAACTGGCTTGGCGGCTGGAAGGCGGGGTGTTGTGACCCAGTTAAGACCGCTCTCGCCCGCGACGCAGTCTGCGTCTCTCTCGCGCGAGTGCTCTTTAATCATAATCTGGCCTCAATTAGGTGACAGAGCATCGCCTTCCAGCCGCCAGTTGAATCAAAGGGTGTAAGGTTTTTTGAACGAAGAATTTCTCGCAGCGCCTGCCTGGCAATACTTTGGGTGATGCTAGCGCTACCCATGTTCAAAAGTTTTTTGGGAACTTCTTTATTTTTTTTTCGAAGTTTTAGTCTTGAATTAGTGTAGTTTATTGATACAGTCTAACATGTTGATGAGTGAAGATTCCAATGTCATAGAGCAAAATTAGAAGCATGTAAAGCAATGGTATTGCTTGTAAGTACATATGATTTTGCCAGTATCTAAAATGCATGGTGAGGTTTGTGATTTACTAACTCTCTCCCTCCTCCGCCGTACACGATTTTTATTCTTGTAATCTGCGAGTGATCCGTCTTGTGGAATATTACCCTTGCCAAATATCTCTGTCCTCCAATTTCCATCAAAACTGGTCTGACTTTGATTCTATCAGAAACATATGCATTGCTCTTTGCAGTCTGATTCTAATCCCAGATCCTAGAGTGTAGTCTACTTCTTGACCTCCTCACCCTAAGAACAAAGCTGCGCCGCAAAAAAGAGTATATGTTCCTCTGCTGTTGAGCAGTAGGTAGGTATGAGTACCATCAGATCCCAATTCCTTCTTACTTGTCTTTTTTGGAATTAGCATGTGGATGTTTGACAACTTCTGAGAAGGACTTAATCTCATTACCTAGCTACACGCAAACTTTCCCAGCCAAAAAAGGGTGTTTATGTTCTTTGCGATAGTCCTTGTCATACTTGAGCTTTTCTGGTAAAGATTTTCCCCCGAAATGATAGTTGTATGCTACGACTAGCCTTTCATTCATTCTTTTTAAAAAAGGACAGCGGCTCAAACCCACAAATCGCGAAATTTTGCGTTTGCGTAATTTCTGAATGGTTATTATGGGCTACCTTATGTCATTGAAACTTGAGGTCCCCTATCTCTCGCTTGGAATCGATTTTCCAAAAAGTTAGATCTGAACCTTTTGACGCGCGAAACTTTAGTGATTCTTGGAACATACGATTTGACCACAGCGAATATTCTCCCACTATCAAGATGATCCAGCAAACTGTCTTCTCGCCTAAACAATCGTATAGTTCAGAATTTGGCGTTTTCAAAGTTTGAGATGGTCAATTTTATGCCTAGCTAAGCTTTGCTTCTCACTTAGAAAAAAAAAGAAAGACAGCGTTGAGACAGTGAGAGTAAAATGAATAGACGCCTCGGTGCTTATTCTAGCACATTTTCAGTGTCACAACTCTTGTTATGTGATTGCTGTCGCTTGCGTATTACTTGAAACCATTCGAAGCCAGAAAAATTTACTATCGATGATTGGTGCTCATTGAGGCGTCGAATAGATTCATCCTTCCTCTCTCCGTAGTAGCTGTTTCCCCTCGAACCTTTCTCTTTAGAAAGAAATACATATGGTTTTTGCGAACCATATGCTGGGAAGTGTGGCCAAAAAATATTGGGTTACGGTAGCGCTCGAAAGATTGTCAAAACACACAGAGGCGCGAGATACGCGCCTTTGAATCCCACTCTCGTTATGAGCTGTGATGTTCTCGCTTTTTTGTTCTTTTTCATCACTTGTTTCTCTCATTGTTCTTTCAGAAAACTTCAGCCCTATTTGTTATGCAGTGTTACAGGTGTTGTTCCATTACTAACCACAAAACATGTGTATTGGAAAGGATTTTTTGAAGAGTTGTTTGGTACATAAAAGGAAATACAAACAGCAATCGTCTTTTTGAGAAGAACGAAGGTTTGCGTTTCAATGCTTCCATATAATCAATCCTTTTTCTCTTATTAATATCAACTTTCAGCGATTGTTATCAATTTTTACGTTAACCTTATGCGATGTTGGTATTTTCCGATCAGAAAATGCATCGTCTGCAAATGCACCATATTACCACATTTTTGAGCTTATTCTGTCTCATCTCGTTTCTTATCGCTTTCATGAAGAGTGCTTTAAGCCTTGGACAGAGTTCAGAAGACTTCATCTCTTCGCGTTTCCCCGATGAAACAACAGTACGAGTCCATTGCATGTTGATCGACTGTCGACTCGTGACTGTTGGCTTGTAGGGAAAACTGCGATTCGATGAAATTGCGTGAACTCTGCCCATGGCACCTGTTAGACCTTCATCCAAAGCGCCCAAAAGCACCCAAATCCTTGATTACTCCTTTCATCTTTTCTCTTCACACTTTTGCGCTAGACTAAAAGCGCCAGGTTAGCGCGGAGCGAGGAAAGGTGGAAATATGTGAAGAGAGATCAGAAAAATTGAGCGCTTTTGGGCGCTTTCAAACGAGGTCTGACAGTGCCTTAATACCAAAAGAGACATTCTGCTCACTATAGTGGTAATCTTTCAACCTAGATATGGGATGCAAAAGGATCGCGGGTGGATTCACAGGCAGAGCACAAGGCGATCTTGGTCCAGTTTACGGTTTCCAGGTATCTTTTTTACAACTTTCGCTTCAATACGGCAGCGTCGAACGATTTCCATTTAGTGGCGACATATTGGCGCCGAGTACAAAGGCCCAGACGCGGACTATGAGGGCCAGGTGTTGAATTAGCGGACGTCATCTACGAAATTCATACGAATCCAGACAGCCCCCGGATTATCATGAGCGCCTGGAATACTTGTGGCAAGTCGTGTTGCTGTTTTTTCAAGCAAGTGAGCTTCTGTTTTGAATTCACAGATTCGAAGCTAATGGCTTTGCCACCTTGGACATTTTACCATGTTTTACTTAGTTTTCGAGTTCCTTTTGTAATTACTTTTTCTTCTAACTTTTATTTGGAATGGTCTCGGGGAAGGTCTGTTTGAGAACGACCATAGGTTGCCGGCAATTGTGTCCAAGGTTGCCGTGGTTGCCGAGGTTGCCGGCGTTGGGTTGCCGGCGTTGCCGGTCGTCGTAGAACCTCATGATAGCCTCACATTTCTCACGCTCTAGGCTGTCTCTGACCCCGGCAACCTCGGCAACCCCGCCAACATCTGCAGTCTCGGAACAGTTGCCGGCAACCTATAGCCGTTCCCTTCGCTTGATATCCTGGAGCAGATAGCTTTCTATAGGACGATGCAATTCCGCAAGCCATTAAAAAGTTTAACGCTCTCTCACGTTCTTGACTTATTCTCTTATTTTTATCCATTCCAAATGTAGCCAGTTCTACTGTATGGCAAATTGTGAACATATAGTTACAGACTTCGACATGGCAATGGTAAATGGTGAACAGCACATCGGCGATAACGAAAAGAATCATGTAGATCACTTTGAAGTACCGATAGAGAAAAATGAGGCTGTTTACTTTTGGTCGTTTTTTTTGTTCTACAAGTCGCTTAAAATGCTAATTTGAGTGCCTTTGTGTTTGATGATGAAGAGTTGCGTCTGCTTTCGTGACTTTGAGTTATGATATCGTAGCTCACTGCACCAGAACGCGTTGCTTCGCGCGTTTCTTCGCACCTGCGCTTTCGTGTGATAGCGAGAGACCGACTGCGGAGCGCTTTTGGAATAAAGTTGAAGTAAACCTTTACTTGAAAGAGTTCGGGCAGGGGTGAAGGGGGGGGAGGGTCGTGCCGGGATCTGGCCCAAGGGGGGGGGGGGTCGTATCCGATGGTCGTGTGCCACACCCCCGCTTTACCCTGCCTGTAACCCTATCTAGAGTATGAAGTTTACGACTTATCGCCTTAGTAACTTAGGCCCGTATGCACGTACGTCCCCGCTGGGGAGGGGAGGGGAGCTGGATCCCCAGGGGAACGATCCCCTCCGCCGAACCCCGCCATGACAGAGGGGAGGGGAGCGATCCCCTCCTCTGCACCTAAGCGGGGATGGTGTGAATGATTTCAGAGGTATTGATCGAGCGAACCCCAGTGCATACGGGGTTCGAATGGGGGAGGGGATCCCTTCCCTTCCCCCACTCGAACCCCGTATGCGCGAATTCAACTCAATAACGCGGGGGAGGGGATCGACATCCCCTGCAACGAAGTAGGGGTTCGATGGTGTAGATCATGCCAGAGACGCGGATATTCTGGTTCTGCTCAGTCATTACCAAGCATTTCGTTCATTTTGATGGAGGATTTTCTTTGAAAGCCGGGTTCTTCCCTCAGCGACCTGTAGCTTGCAATTTGTCTTTCTTTTCTATATTCGCCTCTTGAGAAGAAATCCGAGCAACAATAGCTGCCAATTTCTATTATTTGTAGGAGTTCTTGATCATTCAGGAAATCTGCGCATTTTTCATATAACATAATAGTTTAAACTATATAGGCTAAATAAACACACTGTAACTTTCATATTTCATGACATGTTGCCATTATCTTGTTTTTTAAACATAAGCTGCCTCGAAAAAATCTAGAAAGTAGCATATTTGCCTATTTCTGAGTAGAAATCCCCTGGGGAGTGATCCCCTCCCCAGCGTTCCCCTTGTGCATAGCAGGGATGGCTGCTGGGGATCATTCCCCTGGGATAAACGACGATATGCAGCTGATAGTTACAGCGTTTATGGAGAGCTGGCACAATTTGCAGCTTCTGTTATGTGTTAGAATACTGCTTTGAGCGTCCGCGCGGCACCCCCCCCCCTTTTCGGCAGCATAGCGTCTTCTACCCATTCCCTTGCAGAGACACATCAACTTCTATAGTTCAACATTTTGACGCTGAGA